CAGAGAGAGCAGTGTAATGATATTTTTAAATGCATTTGTGCTTGATTAACTACAATAGCATCTACCTACACTGGGAAAAATAGAATGATGTCGCAAGACATCTACAGTCTGACGAGAACACGTGGAGCTCACAGCTCCCCGGACCCCCGCCCCAGCATGTCAGTCCCCGAGCATCTGCCAGGCTCACGCTGGGAACTCGGCCATGAGGGTGGTTCCATCTGAGAGTGATGCGCTGTCTTCACTTATAAGAATGATGCTATCTAGACACATCCTTTTAGGGCGTTTTCTCTTTTTCTGCAGTGGTTTCATTCACCTTTAAATGCCCTGCTTGATATTCTAAGGTCTTACAACATGTTAAGAACGTAAGGTCACGGAAGACTGGATTCAGAAGAAGCTGCAAAGAGGCGGGATTTCTTTCCAGTCCTGCTCTAAGCAGAGAGCAGCAGGCATCTATTCAGACCAGAGCAAAGCCCAAATATACAGCTCTGAGTGCCTCTACTTTTCTGGACAGAGGAAATCAGTGGGAGCAGAATGAAGCAGTAGAGCAGGTGAGGAATGTGGCATGTTACAGCCAGCAAGGTAGGGACAAGATTGACAATGCCAGTTTTAGGAAGGGGTGTTGCATGGAAGAGACGAGATTGATCCCACGTGGCACCAGAGGACAGCTCGGGGTCGGCAGGTGGAAGCACACTTTCACTCAGCGTGAGGGTCCACACTACTCCTAAAAGCAAGGGGCTGCCTCCTGAGCGCTCTACTCCTAGGGAGGGGCTGCGAGGAGCAGAGCAGAATACCAGAAGCCAGGAGGGCCCGAGGGCTGACGAGCGCCCGGGTCCTGCTACTGGTGCCAGGGAGGAATGCCAGATACTGCCTGGTCTGCCAAGATTTTTGAAGAAGCTGGAGACCCAGGTTTTCACGTGAAAACGCCGCACTTAAACATGGGCCAGTGATCACAATCAATTGATCAATACTGAACAGGCGAAACCAATCACATGAGTGGCCTGCAGGCATGGCCTTCTCGCTGGTTTAGAGAATTCACACATGCAGACCTAGAGGGGTGAGACCAGGGCGTCTCATCTCAGCATTCTCCATGTTCGGGGCTGGGCAATTCTGTGTCTGAGTGGCCAGCCTGGGCACAGAGGGTGCGAGCAGTTCTGGGTTTTCCATTTCTCTCCCATTCCAAGGAAAGGCATGCGGCCCAGAAGCAATGCCCCCCCACCCCCCACCAAGTCATGCCAATCAGAAAGATCTCCAGTTGTTCCTTGAGGACACGCCACCCCAGGGAGAGTCACTAGGCTCTTAGCCTCCAGCAATTTTGTGAAAGCATCACCGCCACCTCAAACAAGGGGTCTCTCCCAGGAGAGAGAATGAAGTGCAGGCTGAGGGACACTCTAGAATCAGAAGTCTGGGTTTGAACCCACTGTTTTGTCATTTACGAGCTTGAGCAGTTTTGGGCTTCCTAACTGGGAGTTTTGGGCTTCCTAACTGCTAAAGCAAAAGTAGACGGCTCCTGTTGAGAAGGCGGAGAGGAAAGCACAGCACCTGGCACAGCAGCTTCACAGGCACCAAGGACGAATCCTGCCACGGCGAAGAGGCAGCCCAGGGCTGCAGAGCTAGGAGCCAAGTCCTGCCTTGGTGACTGAGTAACTGTGCAAACCAGGCAATTCATGCCTCCTCCTTTACAAAAAGGAGTGACGTTCGCCAGGAGGTGGGAGCCAGACAGGTGGTTTAACATGTCACCTTGTGAACCTAACCACTACAGAAATGCTGATCACTGTTACTTTCCAATCTTCTCAAGACTTCTGTAAAGGAAAGGATAAGCTTTTGGGCTGATCAAGAAGCCCAGAGAACTGAGAATGTAGTAACATCAGAGTAAGGTAAGGGGTCAGGGGAGGACACACTAACGACAAGGATCATACCTCTAGGGGTCCTTAGACACCAGCATTGCCAACAGGTGACCCATGGGCCAAATCTGGCCTCCTCGGACATATTTTATGTAGCCCCATGCAAGGTCGGGGTGGCTATATACTTTGAATTAAATGCCATCTAATTTTCATTAAAATCCAGACTTCAGGCTTTTCTCGAAAATTCCAAAGGGTGAGTCTTTCCTGGCCCCATAGTGAGACAAGCTCCCTCCAGATCTCCACAGACCACCCCTGCCCTAAGGTGACTCATTCAGAGGATGAGCCTGGCCGCTTTAGGCACTGGAGTTTGTAACCTTGGCTTATCTAAAGGCAACTATCTGGGAAAGCATTTGGACCTCCCGGGAGTTCTTCACTCCTGGCAGGGACCAACACCCCTGAGACACTCCCTGCCAGCGCCACACCTAGGCAATAAGCCCTCCCAGGGAGTCCTCAGAGTCCTGTTCTGGATGTTTCTACCTCCTTCCTCAAGCTCCTCACCCTGGTATATGTCTTCCTAGACTCAAGACCTCACCTTCCCCAAATCACCACCTGCATCCACTGGATGGATGATCAGCATCAAAGGTTTGCAAGAAACATCTTTGTCTTCAGCAGGGCTACAAAAGACATGACAGGTAGCGTTTGCCTCCCCACCACCCACCCCCGTTGAGGAACCCCTGGTCTCCTATGGGGAACCAGCAATCCCACACTCTCAAATCCATGTGGCTGGGTGGGATTGACTCTATTCTCATTTCTAGGAACAGGCATGTGATCCAGTCAGAGGCATTCAAAGTCACTCTGGGACTGGTGCAGTGACTGGCAGGAAAGTCTCCCCTGAGCCTGCCACCAGAGGACAGTGGAAGGAGAGGGGTCTCCCTCCCTGTAGACAGCTGCCTAACGAGCCGGCCCCTGGATCCAGCCCAGCCTGCGGAGAGACTACTTTTGGGATTCTTTGGGCTTCAAATGAGTTCATTAATTCCCATCACTGCTTAAAGAAGTTTGAAATGAGTTGTCTTGGCACCGAAAGAGAAATTTGCAAGAAGGGCTTGATGATAAAAAAAAAAAAAAAACCTCTGCTCACATTTTTCCTGATCGGGGTTTTTTTTTTTTTTTTTTTTTTTTGGTTATCTCCCTTCATCCATAAGAGTAAGGTTTGCTCTGTGCACTAGCTCTTCCTGCTTTCATGGTATATAGATATTTTTTTTACCTGCCTATCTCTTCTGCAGATCTACTGAGCTCCTTCAGGGCAGAAACTGTCACATTCTGATTCTCTAGTGCCTTGCACAATGGCACATAGTTTGGACTCCATCAGTGTCTGCAGAAAGCAGGAAGCAACACTAGGCGGGGAACAATAGGACAGTGGCATCCAAGCCCTCTTTGGGACCCCCAGTATCCCGAAACCCCTCTGACCCTGTGTCACACTAGCATCTTCTCACACAGATGCCTCCACCCACTGTAAGCAAATTGCATCATGAGAACTTGCTCCTTCCAGCAATTACTGACTCTCCCACATGTCCCTCCCATGGAACCTCTCTGTAGAGTTGCTCACGAGGTCCTCAGTCTGGGAGCGAAGACTTCCCTGCAAGGTGGTTTTCAGAACTCTATGAATTGAGAAGTGGGAAGCCAGGCCATTCACACACCTTCACTCAGTCACGGAGGGAGCGGGACTCCTTTGCCCTCTCTAGCCTTTGTCTTGACCCAAGTATACCCAGATTCCCACAACCATTTGCTTTGAGCAGTAGCAGTACTAGGCTCTCTCCTGCCTGCATTTTCCCTCCCTCTTCTTTTACAAATACTTAACTGGAAAAAATAAAAATAGTGCCAGGAAATCAGCAATACAGCAACAGACTCCCCAATAAAATGTTTTGACTTTGGATACATAATTGCCACACCCTTAATAGCACCATAATAGCTGTAGCTTCCACGGCATCAAGCAATAAAGATTTCAAACAGAGTCAAAGGTCAGGCCAGAATTACCAACCCTGGATGAATCACCATATATCTAGTTCACATGTGCCACACACTTGAGCCCACTCTACCTGGGTGATCCATTAAGACAGATTTACAACTGCTAAACAATATGTACTGATCACCTATCAGGTTATAGGAACCATAGCGGACTGGAGATCACAGGTGAATGAACCAACAAGGGCTGTCAAGGCGTTTAGAGGAATGGGGAACACTGACAAGAGCTAATTACATTATAGGGAAAGCTAGCGCTGAGCTGAGTGGAAGGGGGAGGGAGGGAGAGAGGGGCCACCTGTCTACTCTGGAGCATCAGGGAAAAGCTTCTATGGCCAGAGACCATTAGGGGAAACCTGAAGAATGAGTTGGAGGTAGCTTTAGAGCAGGTGCGGCGAGAGGCCTCGCAGAGCTCCTGGGAGCGCCAGGGAAAGGCTAATAAGTAAGCAGGCCTCTCCTGGAAACTGAAAGCAGACAAGCCTGGCTAGCAGTTGAGAGCCTGAGCGAGAAGAGGAAGCAGGGGCCAGAGACATCCTGAAGGGCTCTGTAGCTTCCAGAGTTTCAAAGAACTTCATTGGGGTTTTTGTTTGTTTGTTTTGTGTGTGTGTGTGTGTTTAAAGCAACATCCCTTTTCTGGTATAATATACAAATAGGCCTGCCTACATGACAGTTTGATGAAACAGCACCTTGCCACTCCCTAAACATTAATTCCACAGTGCAGGCTCAGAGGAGGAAAAAGGAGCGTTCTTGCTGGAAACTTAGCCCTCACTACTACTCTATCCACCCACCTCTCAGCACTATTTCTAGAATTTGCCTGCAAATAACAGAAAAGTGTGACCTTGCAGACTAAAGGGCAGGGATGAACTCTGGAAATAGGATAATAATGGTGAAGTACCTCTGAAAATTACATGATAAAACTAAGCAACAAGTTGAGGGAAATGAAACAGTAAAAAGCAAATTTAGAAAATTCAAGAGGAAGTAAAAGTATTTTCATACACACACAAAAAAAGAAGTATACCACATGCTCAGTCAAACCAAACTCCCCCTTTTACTTAACAGTTGAAAAAAGAAGCAAGAACTGTGAAAAAAATCACACTTCCATGAAGTCATGCAAGAATAAACAGTAAATCGGTACCGCACCGCTAATTACCCTGAAGACCTTGAACTGTCTGTTCCAGATAATACAGCGCATGACAATCACCTGCAGCAGCTCTCAAACCCACAAGTCATTCCTCTCCAAACTCTGTTCTATTCTGTCATTTCATAATCAATAAGGTTTCCCGTCAAAGGTTAAAACGGTACCAGAGAAACTCTGAGAAGCCTGTTTCCAAGCCCAAAGTGAGAAAGGCTTTTCTTGAAACAAGTTGTTTTTTCTTTCTTTGCCACAGGGCGTCTCCATAATCCTTTTCTCCCAATTCCAAATTTCTAAATGTCAGGAACTTGTAGCAGCTCAGGGAGAGCCCTGCTTCTGAGCGAGCACCACCTCTAAATTCCCTCAAAGGGCGTTCTGAAACTCGGCGAGCAGATCCAAATTGGTTTTAATAGCCCTTTACTGCTATTGCCAGCAGGCACTTGGAAGTGACGGGCTGGCAGCGAGCGGGGCCACCCGAAAAGCCTTAGGCACCCAGATGCCAGAGTTTCGGCCCAGGGGAGCTGCCGGCCCGACTGGTTCCGAGGCGGGCGGAAAGGAAGGTCGCGTCCGGTACCCGGAGGGCGATGCGGGCCGGGGCCGACGGCAGAGGGGACCCGAGCGGTGGGCGCGGAGGGAGGCGCGGCCCGGCCGGGCTGG